ATACGTAAATGCATGCATCATTTGATACAAGAAATAAGCAAGCTGGAAATGATCATAAATGAAACACTGCGGCAGAAAAATAGAAATATTGAAAGTAGGGTCAGAACGAGGCTATTTGGACCTTTAAACCTGCTTCACCATCCAATATGATCATGGCTAATCCTCGATCTCATGAGATTTTCCTCCTTTCTCTTCAATCTCCTTGATGATTTTAAAATCTAAATATTTGTCTATGACTTTCTTGAATACATTCAGTGAGATGGCCTTCCCAGTCTTTTATGGTGGATAATTCCATAAGCTCACAACTATTTGACTGAAGAAATGTTTCCATATCACAGTCTTAAATGGTCTACCATGTATCCTGAGACTGTGACCCCTGGGGTTACACATCACAACCAGAGACGTCATCTTCCCTATACCTGATCTGTTCAGCCTGTTGGAATTTTATATGCTGCTATCAAATCCCCTCTCATCCTTACAAACCTTCACAACTACGCAACCAGTCGAAATTTCTCATAGGGCAATGTCGCCCTGTGAAATCTTTTCCACACTCCCTCTTTGAAAAGTATGTTCTTTCTGAGGGAGAGAGACCAAACCTGCATGCCATCCTCAAGACGTAATTTTACCAAGCCCTGTAGTAGTAAAACATCTCTACTTCAGAACGCATATCTTCTTGCAATGAAAGACAATATACCCTAAGGTTTTGGAGTAGATTTGTAGCTCGGGTTGTGGTTGTTGAGGTTGGTTGGCTCGCCGATCTGGTTTGTTGTTCCGCAGACGTTTCGTTACCATGCTTGGTAACATCCTCAGTGCAGCCTCCGATGAAGCGTCGGTGTGTTTTCCCGCGTGGCTTTTAAACTCTGGGGTCCGTTGCGATGGATTGCCTCACTTCCGGGTTTCCTCCGTATATGGGGTCGAGTTCAATATGTTCATTAATACCCTGCTTCGTGGAGTGCCATGCTTCCAGGAATTCTCGTGCTTGTCTCTGCCTAGCCTGTCCCAGGATCTTGGTGTTGTCCCAGTCGAAGTCGTGGTTCTCCTTGTCCATGTGGATTGAGATGAGTGAGTATTGGTCGTGTCTTTTTGTAGCCAGTTGGTGTCATTTACTCTTGTTGTTAGTTTCCTTCCTGTTTGTCCGATGTAGTGTTTCTCGCAGTCTCTGCAGGGGATCTTGTAGAAAAAGAAAAATTGGTCCTGTCCATGGCGGGGAGTGGGTCTTTAGTTCGGGTGAGCACTTGTCGTAGGGTTGATGTGGGTTTGTGTGCCACTCTGATGCCCAGCGGTCGTAAAAGTCTTGTGGTGAGTTCTGACGTGTTCCTGATGTAGGGTAGTGTGATGAGTGTGTCGGGGCGTGTAGAATCTTTCTGATGCTGTTCCTGTAGGCATCTCCTGACCCAGTTCTTTGGATATCCATTATCCTTGAACACTTGGAAGAGGTATTCCTCCTCCTCTTGGCGTAGTTCTATGTTACTGCAGTGTGTTGTTGCCCTTTCAAACAGTGTTCGCACGCAGCTTCGTTTGTGTGTGCTGGGATGGTTACTGTTGAAGTTCAATACCTGGTCTGTGTGTGTGGCTTTTCGGTGTACTTTCGTTTGCAGTTCCCCATTTGTCTTGTGCTCTACCATGACGTCCAGGAATGGGAGTTGTATGTTCTTCTCCTCCTCTCTCGTGAATTTTATTCCGGTGAGGGTGTTGTTTATGAGTTTGTGTGTCTCTTCTAATTTGGTCCGTTTAATGATGACCAAGGTGTCATCTACGTAGCGTATCCATAGTTTAGGTTGGATTTGCGGAAGGGCAGTCCTTTCCAGTCTTTGCATCACTGCTTCTGCTATTAGTCTGGAGATAGGCGATCCCATGGGTGCCCCGTTGATTTGCTCGTATGTTTGACCATTGAAGGTGAAGTGGGTGGTCAGGCATAGGCCCAGTAGTTTAAGCATGTTGTCCTTGGAGATGGTTTCACTGGGGTCGTGTTCTTGTTCCAGGAGTGTTGTCATTGTTTCCCTTGCGAGTGGTATGTCTGTTGACGTGAATAGGGCGGTGACATCAAACGATATCATGGTCTCTTCGTCCTCGATCTTTATGTCTTTGGTGGAGTTGAGGAATTCTTGGGCTGAGTGGTTGGACTGGGGTGATTTGTTGAATAGGTGCTTGAGTCTTCTTTGTAGTTCTCTGGCTAATCTGTGCGATGGAGTGCCTGGTAGGAAGTCTACGGGTCTGATGGGGACTTCCGGTTTGTGCACTTTAGGGAGGCCGTAGAATCGGGGTGTGTTGTTTCTTTCGGGTTTCATTCTTAAGAAGTCTGCTTTGTTGATCTGTCCTGTTTGTTTAAGTCTTTGTAGCGTGTACAGGATTTTGTTGCCTAGTTGTGGTGTCGGGCCAATTTGTACTGGCCGGTATGTGTTCTCGTCGGCGAGCAGTGCTTGTGCTTTGGAGATGTCGTCCTTTTTATTCATTATCACTGTCATGCGCCCTTTGTCTGCAGGTAGTATAGTGATGTTCTTGTCCTTCTTTAATCTGTCCAGGACTTGTCTTTCCCGTGTGTTGAGGGTGTTGAGTTCCCTCTTTCTGGTTAGTGTCGGGACTACCGTCTGTCTTACAGTTTGTTGTGTTTCTTCGTTGATATTGTTGGTCTTGAGTGTGGCTTCCGGTGTAGCTCGCCATTCCGTTTTGTTGGCATCCCTGAAGTTGTAGTTCAGTTCCCGGGTGAGAACGGCTTTTTCCGCGTCTGTCAGTTTCCTGTCGGAGAGGTTCCTTATCCATGTGTCAGTTCTGTTGTTGTCGCTTTTGTGGGTAAGTGTGGTTAGCTTGTCTTGCAGGGTCTGTCTTTTCTTGGCTCTTGTGGCCTGTCGGCTGATGTTAATGGCTCGTTCCATGTCGGTTGTCCAGTCTTGATTGGTAGCTTCCTGGAATAACGTTTTTTGGCGCGTAATTTCTTCCAAGTGTTCAAGGATATTGGATATCCAAAGAACTGGGTCAGGAGATGCCTACAGGAACAGTATCAGAAAGATTCTACACGCCCCGACACACTTATCACACTACCCTACATCAGGAACACGTCAGAACTCAACACGAGACTTTTACGACCGCTGGGCATCAGAGTGGTACACAAACCCACATCAACCCTACGACAAGTGCTCCCCCGAACTAAAGACCCACACCCTGCCATGGACAGGACCAATGTCATCTACAAGATCCCCTGCAGAGACTGCGAGAAACACTACATCGAACAAACAGGGAGGAAACTAACAACAAGGGTCCATGAACACCAACTGGCTACAAAAAGACACGACCAATACTCACTCATCTCAATCCACATGGACAAGGAGAACCACGACTTCGACTGGGACAACACCAAGATCCTGGGACAGGCTAGGCAAAGACAAGCACGAGAATTCCTGGAAGCATGACACTCCACGAAGCAGGCTATTAATAAACACATTGAACTCGACCCCATATACATTCCCCTTCCGGGAGGAAACCCGGAAGTGAGGCAATCCATCGCAACGGACCCCAGAGTTTAAAAGCCAGGCGGGAAAACACACCGACGCTTCATCAGAGGCTGCACTGAGGATTTTACCAAGCACGGTAACGAAACGTCTGTGGAACAACAAACCAGCTTGGCGAGCCAACCAACCTCAAGACAATATATCCCCTGCCTGACTACTTTCACTAGCAGACGTGCACGGATACAGGATCCTTGCATATGTCCACATCTGGAAGTCTCCTTCCAACCTGCTCATGACTCAAAATCTCACAATGTAGAAATGTTACATTATAATTTATTCCTTCATCCTGGTCATACATATATATGAAACGCTGGGACTGAAACCTTGCGGTACCCCAGTATTCAGTATATACCACTGAGAAAACAAACGTCCCTTTCATCAATCCCTCTGTTTCATCTCTGTCAACCAAATTTCAATCCATGACAATTTATTAACATGTATCATATGTCATTTAATTTTGCTTACTAAACTCATTTCTCGGACACTATGAGGTTGATCATGGAACACCATAGTAGGTATTATTTTTTGGAAACTAAAGACGTGTATTTGGATGCATTTGGAAAAATCATCTCAAACCCTGACAAATTATTATGCCAGCATGCTTCAAATTCTTTCCATGAGAAATTCTGAAATGTTGAGTGTTGGACTCGTCAAAAATACATTTCATGCCTTAGAAATTGAACACTGTCCATGTTCTTTGGAGGCCTTTCGTAACTTTGTGTTTTCGAACAGCTGATGGAACTACTTGCATGATTCAGCTTCGAAAACCGGGGTTCACGTGTGTGTTCCTTTAATATCTTGAAAGCTACAGATAACCTTGGAAATAACACAATATCTACCTTGGACCATAGTGTAAGACGTGAGGGAGGAATAACTCGTTCTGCGTATAATTCTCCACAATTGTGCATGGCAAAAGGTTGGAATTTTTTTTTTTCCACGGATTGATCTAACTAGAACACCGAGAATGGAAATTATTACAAGTGACACTGGATAGTTATATGGAGTCTGAAAATGAAACTGAGTATAGTAATGGCTATTTTCACATTTCTCATCAAAAGGTGAACAATGAAATAGTTTTGTGTTCCTGTGGTGAGAAATGCCTAATTTGGCAACAGAATGCAATAACACAAGAACCGCAGCTGAATTATAAATTACACAATACTTACACACAAACGAGGCATATGACAAATGTTCTTTTATTTTTATCTCTCCTGTCATGTGTAGCATGTTGTCATTTCTTTCCAGTTGTAACTTTGGTACGGGGAGAAACAATACAGTTCAATATATCTTAAAATATTTTTATTGTGCAACAATAAATTGAGGCATTTGCACTCACTACAGAACTCCCAGCTTTAAGAAGGCAACGGTAATTTGATTGGTCGAATTTAAATGTGCTGCTCTTCACCAATCAGAACTTAAGATGTGGTTGGGGATCCGGACAGCCCCTTCGCTACCCAGACACCATCACGTCCGATCACGCACAGAGATAAAATTGGATTGCAAGCGGCTCGTTAGGAATTGTTCACGAATCGAATGGACGTTTTGAGAAAATAGAAGACTCAAATTGTATAATCTTAGCGATTCGTGAAATGTTCAGGTATTTACTCCAGTGCAGTGGTTTTCGAAATAAAAACATTGATATAACTAAAAAGAGAATAATTAATGCTGCGGAGACATGCTGATATAAAGGGAATGTTTGACTCTGGAAATGAGATATAACATATTTTGGCTTCTGAAATGCCACTTCTTGTGCTGCATATTCTCTCCTTGGAATCTCGTGTTTGGACAGATTCGTTACTCAATTCCTGAAGAACTGCAACTCGGCGCCTTTGTTGGGAATATCGCTGAGGATCTCAGCTTAGATGTAAAGCAGCTCCCGGCTCGCAACTTGCGAATGGTAGCCAGGACCAACAAACAATACGTGGATATAAATTTGGACATTGGCATTTTACGGGTGACGAAAATAATTGACAGAGAAGAGATTTGCGGACCGAGCCTCAGTTGTGTGCTAAGCTTCAACGTTTTCCTTGAAAATCCTTTAAAGCTGTACCAGGTTGCAGTGGAGATTCTCGATGTAAATGACAATGCTCCCAGTTTCCCAAATACACAATTCCGCCTAGAAGTGTCAGAGCGTTCTACTCCTGGAACGCGCTTTCCACTCGAGCCCGCGCACGATCTGGACGTTGGAACCAACTCCGTACAAACCTACGAGCTCCTTCCGAACGATTATTTTTTTCTCGATGTACAGATGCGCAGTGGTAATGTAAAATCCCCGGTACTAGTGCTGCAGAGTACCTTGGATAGAGAAGCGGAAACCAGCCACAAATTAACGTTGATAGCCAAGGACGGCGGAGTGCCCGTGAGGTCGGGCTTGGTTCAGATATCGATAACTGTAAAGGATGCAAACGACAACGCTCCCATCTTCTCCCAGTCAGTTTACAGAGTCAGTCTGTTAGAGAACGTAGCCACAGGAACGCAGGTAATCATACTAAATACCACTGACTTGGACGATGGCCCCAATGGAGAGATAAGCTACTCGTTTGGTAGCCACACTTCAGCTCGAGTTCGAGAGCTGTTTGGGGTGAATTCCAAAACTGGTGAAATTATAGTAAAACGGACGTTGGACTATGAACAAACCAGTGTCTTTGAGTTAAACATTCAGGCTACAGACGGAGGTTCTGACGCTATGTCGGGGCACTGTGATGTTTTGGTAAATATTATTGATGTGAATGATAACCCACCTGAGGTGATTTTGACGTCTTTATCGAGTACAATATCGGAAAATGTAGCTAGTGGGACTGTAGTCGCTCTGTTCGCTGCAGCAGATAAAGATTCGGGGAGAAACGGGCAGGTACAATGTCATATTTCAAATAAATTGCCATTTAAACTGGATTCTTCTTTAAAGAATTTTTATGGAATACTTGTTCATCATTCACTTGATCGTGAAAACACTTCCAAGTATGACGTTACAATAACATGTTCGGATGCCGGAAATCCTCCACTTACATCCAAGAAAACTATTCGCGTCGAGGTAACCGATGTAAATGACAACGCGCCACAGTTCAGTCAATCTGTATTTACAGCAAGCATAATGGAGAATAATGAGATTGGCGCTTCTATATTTTCTATTACAGCCTTTGATCCCGACGTTGGAGTAAACGCAAAAATGAAATACTTTATTCTGGAGACTCAAATTCAGAACGCCTCGGTATTCAGTTACATCTCTATTAACCCGGACACTGGTGTCATTTTCGCTCAAAGATCTTTCGACTACGAGCAACATAGAAACTTTCAGATTCAAGCTCAGGTCATGGACTTTGGGACGCCATCACTTGCAAGTAATGTTTCAGTGGATGTGATTATCCTGGATCAAAATGACAATGTGCCAGTCATCGTACAGCCATTCGCCGAATTTGGGTCAACAGCAGTTGACACAATATCCAGGTTTGCAGAACCAGGCTACTTGGTTGCCAAGGTATCCGCCACTGACGCTGACGCCGGTCAGAACGCTCGTCTTTCTTATTCCATTTTTCAGGCTACCCAGCATAACCTTTTTACTATTTCACCAGACACTGGGGAAATTTGGACAATCCGTCGTGTCGTTACTAAAGATGCCTCTAAGCAAAGGTTGGTGATTCTGGTAAAAGATAATGGATCACCATCTCTTTC